ATATTTTTTTCCTTCTATACATTCTTGAAAGAGTGGAGAGGCAAACAGGTTCTATTTATGGAGTCAAAACTACAGCACACAATTTTCTAAATAGTAATCAGCCTGTTTGAATCTTAGAAAGCCTCTTTTGTTCACTTTTTAATGCTTATTAATGATTTTATCTAATGCAAAGCAAATGCAAAGATGCAATGTAAATTTAGATGCCAAATACCTTTGATAGCAATCAAGGAGTGTAATAAACGATGAGAGATCTTCCAAAAACCAACTTCAGAGCTTCCACTAACATTTACCATGCAGGAAAAGTCGTGACTGGCAGTTTCAGTTGTTTAATTTCCAATTTCTGTGAACATAAGACAGTTTTGATCAAAGTATGCAAGCATAGGAAAGCAGGCTACAAGATATTCATCACATTATTTCAGTGCTAACTGCAATTTTGCAGATGCAATGATGTGAAATTATTTCTTTGGATATTTTTTATACTTTAATGGGACGAGAGATGAAAATGTAAATGTTTATTGATATGTATTGTCACATTTTAAAAAAATAAACTTGAATTGGCAAGTAGACCTTAATAAATAAAATGTGCAGTTTTCAAATAATTTTTTTTTTATATACATTTGTTAAACGTTGCTCTCACTGTCGTCCTAAAGCCTTAGAAATAACTTTGTGACCGTCCCCAATGAGATAAATGTCACTTTGTTACTCATCTGTTCCTGAAGAGTGAAATGGTGCAGTGTTGGATTATAATCTCCATTCCTTTGGATTAGACCATTCTCATCATCTCTGAATCAGATTCTGACAATTTAACACTCAGATTAATCAGCAGTAAGTCAGTTTCTACAGATTGACTCTTTATTTTCATATGAGTCAGATTTGAACTTTTCTTTATTTGTTTAATATTTATGTACAGCTTCTAAATAAATGAGTTAAATTACTCTTTCAGCTTCAGGACGCAGCATTGTTTGAGCTCTTACTCAGATCCTGTAAAAGTCACTCACCCACACTTGAGTTAAACTCTGTTTGCAATCGATGGGGCGTATTTACTCAGTCGTTTCTCAAATGAACGGCTCTCTGTAAGCGCTGGACTACGCCATGTGACAACATGTCTGTGCATCAAATGTGCATCGTTTGTCTCTGAGCTGCTGCTGCTGTCCGTCTCTCCAACTGTCTCTGTGATTATTCTTGTTTCTGCAGAATTCTCCACTGGAAGTAGACGACGAGGGATTCGTCATCCGAGCTGACAGCACTCAGAATGATATCCTTTTTTTCCCCCAACGTGAATCTGATATTTGCAGATGGAGCAAAAGATTAGGGTGATTGCAAAGAGGCCTCTCTACCTCAAATCCTCTGAGTTCATCGCCAAAGATGAATCATCAAAATATCATGCAAAAGTCTTCTCAGCCATTATTTGAAGGGTTTAAATATGCATTTTTCCAATGATAATTTAGAAAATAAAGCTATTTTTTGATACTCTTTCATTGGTTTACTATCTTTAAAAAATATATCATCTCATTTCTTATCAAAATTAAACTTTTTAGTCAAATTAAAATAATTTTAAATCTACATCAGCCTGTGAATTATATCAATAACGTTGAGCTTAAATGTATATTTTGTTTTGTTCTTTAAAATGTAATCTTTTTCCTTAATGTCATAAACTTCCTAACTACTTTTGAAAAAAGAATTGAATAGATCTGTTTTCACGCTGTCACTAGGTTATACGAAATATTTCCACTTCTGCAGCAGCGTTTGCCATCTGAGCTGGTTTTTCTTGACGCTCCCTTTACGCTGCTCTGAGAAGGAGGACAACTTCTACTCCAGCGATTCAGACTTTGACGACGAGGAGCCGAAGAAATTCCACATCCAGATCCGACCCGTAGCCAGCAGCAGCCGCAGCAACTCTGTTGCCACGGAGAAGGAGCTGAAGGCCACCGTGGGAACGTTGACGCTGCCGCCCAACAGAGGAACGAGGCAGCAGGTTATTCCTGAGATCTGCTGCATTTATACATTTTAGAAGACAACAAATTCTCAATCTTAGATCTGGCACAGACGGAGAAATTCCATTAATTATTTGACTTTTGAAGACCTTTTTTGTAAAGTTTGTGCTGTTTTTTATTTCCAGATGCTTGCAAAGCGGCATCTCTCCAGTAAGTTTAATTCATTCACTTTGTTTCTGAATGTTTTTAATGTTTAAATATTTAATCTTCCTGTGCTTTGAACAAATAACGAGGAGGAAAAAGCTTTCCAAACCAGCCTCATTAACCTCCTTTTATGTAATTATGGAGGAATTTTGACCAATTCAGCCTTTTGGAGCAAACTACACGTTTAAGAGCCACAGTATCTCTAAATTCTGACTTTGACTAGGCCAGTCTACAACATTGATTTTAGAAGGGTTTCTATCCAATCCATTCACTTCAGTTCATTGCATTTGCTGCAGAAAATAATAGTTGGATGTTTTCCTTCAAGCTTTTCTGGTAGAAATCAGAATTTATGATTTAATTATTTACAGCAAGTTGTCCAAGTATAGAAATGGCAAAGCAGCCCCCGGACCATAACTCTAACACCGCCAAGTTTGACTGTAGATTTGTTGCTTTATAATAGTTTTTACTGCAGTTGGCTGGACTCCTAAAACCATATGAATGGCCTTGTAACCCTTTCCAAACTCTTAGATCTCAGTTGCTTTGTTTCTAAAATATTCTTAAACTCCTTTAGATTGGCGCTTACAAGTTTGGCCTACTTCGTGTTGTCAGACAGGTTCCATTTAAGCTATTTAAGACCGTATGAGTCTGTCATTATTCAGACCCGAGTGTGACTCTTGAAATAAAATCTAAAATATGTTTAATTAGAGTTAATTCATAAAATTACCAGGCAGGTTTGGATTGACCTTAATAAATAAGAGTGGAGCATTTAAAAACTCAGATTATCTTTGCATGGAATTAAAACTTGTTTCTTGATATGAAACATTTATGAGTGACAGAAAAACAAAAGCAGGTTAAGTACTTTCACTGTGAGAGTATGTTAATTATAAACTGTTTTTGACTGAGCGCCGCTGATGGTTAAATGCTCTGCTGTGTGGTTACAGGAAACTCCAGCGCCGCTGGAGGCCGATCCGAAGACGGTGAAGCCGCCTCGCATCGAGGTGAGTCAGCGGTTTCCGACTCAAACCGAAACTGCAGATCAACTCAAAGTGAAATTATGTTTGTGATGCAGGCGACTTCATGTTAATCACCTTTTGCTGGGAATGAATAACGTGTATTAACACTGGCAAAGAAAATTATAAACAAGAAAAAAGATAAATTTCTTCATTTATTTCTATTCATTTACCAATGTTTTAAGCAGATTTTATTTCAAAGTAACCTTGATTTGATTTTGTTTACAGCTTTGTGGAAAAGTCATANTATATATATGGCAAATAGTAATAGATCCTGGATCTTAACTCAGATAAATCTTTAAACTCTGCAGTCTGCCACTGCAGCTTCAAAGCCATAACAAAATTCCTCACACCTTCTATTTGAAACAGGAAGGTATTTTAGTCACAAGAATTCAGCGGAAAATGGGTTGGCTGGGAAAAAAAAAAAAAAAAAACAGATTCAACTTAAAGTTAATCAGACAAGAAGCTTTTCCAACTGACCTGTTTGAGTAGCATTAGCGTTACTTTATCTCCAATTCGATCTCTTACTTCCTCAATAGAGAAAGTACTACTCTGTGCCGAGCTGTCATAAGGTCAGCCAAGCATTGTGACAGCTAGAAAAAACAAAAAAAACACTTTTTCATGGAATCAGAGTCAGAGTTTTTAGAAGCACGTGCATAAATTCATGTGAGACCATGGAGATAATTTTTTTCCTCAACACAGGTGTTAACAGGTGTTCAGTGACTGCTAAAAGTTTGTGACCTCTGAAAATGGCCTCAGAATCCACTGACCCCACTCTGTGGTTTAACTTGGCCAACAACTTTGAAGTTCAGTTGGTGTTCTTCCCAATCACTTCCACTTTTTTATAACGTTACTAAGAGTTGACAGTGAAATATTTAGCACTGAGGAAATTTCATTGCAAAATACTTTATTGCACAGGTGGCATTATATCACGGAATCAGGAAGGAATGTACTAAACCCCTGATAGCGAGCCATTCTTTGGTTTGAACATTGTTTTTTGAGTTGTCATTGGGCTCTTGGACTTCTCTTGTAAATATTCATGTGATTTCTTTGTTAGAAATATTGTGAAGAGCATTTTTTCCATGGCTAGTTATAATAAAATTATGTTTCTCCTACAAAATAATTATGGCCCAACAGAGCTCCCTTGAACATTCTCTGTAACCAAGAACTTTGTAAAGAACCCAAAATGTCTTTTTGTGTTTCTAGTGCAGTATCTTACCAGGGTTGTTACCCATAATTGATCTGATTCTTTTTACTAATTAGGCCAGTAGAAATATATTTACTAAGGCAGACACTGATGTTCTCAATATTTACTTCCTCAACTGTACATGAACACATTTCTCTTGTGTCATGTGTGCTTCATAATGACATGTTTGGCTACCATTCTTGATAAACCAGCCCTGACTTTGCTTTGCAGCACAAAGTCTCCTAAACTATTCTTAATATTTAGGACAAGTTCTATGATGATCGTCACCATGAGGACAATAAATATGTATTATTCCTTTTTAAATCAAAACTTTCTTTGAATGTCTTGGCAGGAGTGAACTGTTGATTTTTAGAGAACAAAAGATTACAGAAGTAGTAGAAACAAATATCTAGTGGTGAAAGGCAAATGACTGTTACAGAAACTTACATGTGAAAGGTAGAACACAGTCACTGCCTCTGATTATTATGTGGCTGATTGTCAGTTTCTCTGTAAAGGATAACATTCTTTAGATTTTGTTCACCTGCTGACAGATCAACCACACCTGCAGAAATATAAACCACTGGACGTGGTTTGTCATTTAAGCACCGCTTTGCACAAGAATTCTGGTTCTGCAGCATTGCGTTGTTTTTCCCCCCCCCCAGGATTCTGAATAACTCCTGAGACGCCACACCCCACACCATCAGTCCTTTCAGCACTCTACTGGGTGACAGTAAAGCTTCCAGAATCATCAGGTAAAATTTTATTTCTTTGTGAAAATATCCAATGCCTCTTTTTTTTATGTCTTTCTTTTCTGGCAAAGGAAAACAAAATTTGCCTAAAAAGTAGGTTTGTAAAATTTTAAAACCCAGGACAAAAATAACTGTTGATTAACAGTAACATTAGAAACAATTTTAGAACTACACCTATTCCTGAAATTTTGAAACAAAATAATTAAATAAAAACTTTTGCTTTCCTGAGCATATACCTTTAAGCCCAGAAAAACATATGCTCTAAAAGTATATGTTTTTTTGTTTTTGTTTTTCATTTTGGTTATTAAAATACAGTCAGTGTTTGTCTTATTGTGTAATCTTGTGTGGTTGTGGGTTTATTTTACCAAAGTGAATCTTTTCAATTTCTCAAAATAGAAAGGAATTAGATCGTCACGAAGCTCAATCATGGAAAAAACAGACACCTGGCTTCTACTTGATCCATTTAATGTAACTTAATCTTTCTTTTTTTTTAATTGTCTCATAATATGACAGATGGAGGAACACAGTATGTTATAAATTTAAAGCTAGCCTTCCTCATTTACTTTTCACTGCCCACTTTTTCAGGAAAAACTGAAAAAGTTTCCTGCATGTAACATTGCAGATCTCTGGGCCTTCAATTTACCTGTGGTTTAGTTTGTAAATGTCACCATCTGCCGTGCTAACCGAATGACTCATGAAGAGCATGACTCACATATTTTTAAACAATTAATTTCAATAAAGCAGGATGCGATGAAGTGATAACACCACCTAATCTGATCCAACTCTATGCTATCTTCTGATGAGAACATCTCAACATGCTGGATGTTTGAAACTGAAATTTGAGTATTTATTATCTGACTCCTTGGGGGAACTCATGGAACATGGAAATTTAATTTCCAGACTGTTAAAAATGGTCACACAAGACGTGACGGAGCTGCATATTCCTCAAAATCCCTTAACATTCCTTATTTCTGACCTGTATGTTGAGGGTCATTATTTTTATTTGTCCTTGCTTGTTGTGCTCTTTGGCTCCCTGTGATTTTTAAAAACTTGGTGGGTACAGATTTGCTGAGAGTGTGGTGTAAACAGGCTCACAAATGGTACCTAAGCAAGAGGATGAGTATAGTTAGGGCTTCAGATCCTGCTTTGAAAATTTTCTGATTGAGCCCCCAGTTCAGTCATTCATAGTCAAGATCACTAGAACGACTATAGAACATTTTATGCAACGTTTGGTATCTAACAACAAATATATGTTGCATTTAACATTTTTTGACATAGTCTGGCTTTTACTTTTCTTCTTTCCTTTTTAGCTAACGTTTAGTGAAAGATGAGTGAAAACTGGAACTCTGACCTCCTCAGCTGCTGTGATGACATGAAATCTTGTAAGTATTAATCATTTTTAATCAAAGCTTTACATTTACCTTTTTATTACCCAAATTTTCTCCATTGTTCAGCAAATAAATCTGCTTAAGAATATTTGCCTTTAACTTATATATATATATATATATATTTTTTTTTTCAGGCTGCTACGGTCTCTGGTGCTGCCCCTGTCTTGCCTGCACCGTGTCAGGACTTTTTGGACAGAACCGCTGTCTTCCACTGTGTGACATTTGCAGCCCTGCTGTGATGTCTGCTTTTGGGATACCTCTGTGTGTCCCCCCTGCAGGATTAGCCCTGCGAGTCGGGATTAGGCAGAAATATGAAATTAAGGTAAAAATAAAATAAAGTAAAAAAGAGCCAATGAGCTTCTTATTCCACATTAATGATGATTTCAAAGTTTTCTCTTTGACCAACAGCTTAAGAAAATTCATCTCAAGCAGTTTTACATGAGTAAAACAGCAAGTGTTTTCTTTCCCCCACAGGGTTCTCTTTGTAAGGACATTGCCACATCCTGCATCTGTGTGTGGTGCTCCTGGTGCCAGTTGCATCGGGAATTGAAGTATCGCAACCACACCCCTGCTGTCGTGAACCAGCCTAAAAAATAAAAACAACTGCAGAGGTTTTATAACTGCTGCTCCACAATTTGGTTGACAGTGATCGTCTTTAGTTTAACCATGTCAAAATAGCTAAACAGAGTTTTTTAGCTTTATTGTGGCTATAATAAGCATATGATTTAAATAAATAAAACAGTCCTGGGCTTTGAACATCAGGATTTGCTCGGCTCAATTTATGATATGATCCACTTCGTCCTGTGTTAAAGTCTTGGCAAACTTATTTTTTTTTTTGATAAGTAATTTAATACTGAGATGAAAGATGAAGAATTTTTTTTTTTACTTTTTAATGGTGGTATGTTCATGTTTCTGTTTATGATTTAAATGAAACTTTTTAAATATATGTAACTGACATATTAATATAACTAATGAATGTTTTTTAAATGTGTGGTCTTTCAATGCATTAAATGGTAAATATCTATATTTGATTTTTATCTGTCTATAATTCTAATTTCATTTCTTGGAGTAATTATTGCTATTAAATAATTATCCCTGTCAAACAGCAACAATCACAATAACCTGGTTTTAATTCAGTTCAGTTCACATTTATTAAACATTCCTGTGTAATTTTAAGATTCCCAATTAAAGGTTCATCTTGTTTTATACCTATGTCTTATTTTGCAAAAAATATACCATAAAATTTTGTATTACTGAAAGTTTGTGTTACTTAAAATTTTATTTATGATGCATACAATTTTGGTAAATAAAAAAGTACTCCAGTAAGAGTCACTTTAATTAATTATATTTTATAATAATACTCATCCAAAAATGTATTCAAATAAGACTAAAAAAGTATTTTTGTAAAAGGGATTCTTGAGAACTGTCATTATTTATCAGACATGATCTAATTTGTAAAAATGATAATATAATCTGACAGAGAAATATAAAATTATTTGAAAATAAGTACTTTTAAATGAATTAAATAAAAAAATGTATCTATAGTAGAATTTCTCTATCATTACAAAATACTACAAATTCATACAAACCAAACACATACTTCTATATCTGGTATTCATAAATCATTTTTAAACAAACTTTTTTATACTAATACTTGTAGTAGTTAATGTATGTTAGAACAGTGTAAATTATATACAGAGACATACTATGTACTGAATATTAATTTATCACTGAAAATAAACATTAATATTGTGTGCAGAAAACTACTGTAACTGTTTCTGGTGCATTTTTGGCTCCTCAATTTTCTGACTTTAAGCTTCTGAGAGTTGCTTTGTGCAATTTTTAACTGTTGGTTAAATAATTTGTTCCATAGATTTTGTTTTTTTTAATTTCCTTTATTTAACCAGGTAAACTCAGTTGAGATCTAGATATCATTTTCAAGAGGGAGGGACCTGGGCAAAAATCTGCAACAGCCTAGATACAGTTTGTTTATTATTATGTAACATCTACTCAATGCTTTAAACATATCCTTTTTACCCAGGGGTCAGGCTATAGATTGATTACTGATCAGATTTGATTGTGCTTGCAATCCTATATAACAAAATGATAAATTACTTATTGAGAATTATTTGCACATGGTTGTGTATAAAATAAATTAATCTGAATTACTGTAAAACTAGGAATTGTTTATGTTTACATAATACACTTATTTCTTTTGTATCTTAAAATAACTATTTCTTATCAAAATATAAACAATTAATACAAAAGTATGATAATAATAATAACAGTAGTAATAGTAATAATAGCAAATTTAAAATCTTCATTCTTGTATATAATCATAAAGTTGTACTGTTGGGAAATTCAATTAACTTAGAGTTTTCCAAAGCAAGAGTTGTAATTCTGCCTAATGAACACAAGGTGGCAGTGTTTTCTAGACACTCCAACAAATGGGAGCCCACAGTTTTAGGTGTGATGACAAGTTGTCTCTGAAGGTTGAACCTAATTTGACAACCAGGTGGTTCAGTGAGCCAAACAGAAATGATCAAGATTTCAGACTGATGTTTCAGACCAAACAGTTGGATCCGATTTAAGGAATGGTGTGATGCCTTCTTGACTTTTAAAATACTTCTAATACATATAGCAAAAAAATAAAAAAATAAATAAATAAATAATAATGATAATAATAAGAATAATAAAACCACAAAGTAATAATTTGGTTACTTAGATTATGTGGGGGCTGCACAGTGGCGCAGTTGGTAGAGCTGTTGCTGTGCAGCAAGAAGGTTCTTGGTTCAATTCCTGGCTCCTGTCTTTCTGCATGGAGTTTGCATGTGTGGGGGTTCTCCAGTTTCCTGGAGATAGGCACCAGCAACCCTCCTGACCCCACTGAGGGACAAGGGTGTAAAGAAAATGGATGGATGGATTATGTGGCAATTCTCCAAACAAATGAAGGATTTTAGTTTGGAAAAGTTTTTACATGAGCAAACAGTTTAAAAAAACAAAAACAAACAAACATGGCATCTAAAAGCTCAAACAATCATGCAATTTAATTCTGACAAAACAATTAACAGCTTACATTACATTCAAGGCTATGTCAGTGATTAAATTATCTGTTACAGTATTAAATGAATATGAAGATGTTGCTGAGGCCTTAATTATCTCAGCATTGTACAGTCTTACATCAACCCAAAAAAATGCTGATTCAGAGTACTGCGTTTGCTGTGCTGTGATAGGTGTTAAAGAAAGGTGTTTTGGAACACTGAGCACTAGAATCTGAATAGATCATCTTCATGGAGATGGAGAGACGATTTTTTAGCTTTAGTTTCCTGTTAACAATGGTATCTTTTTTTTCTTTTTTGAGGAGGCACAATGTAAAACTCCTCATGTGTCAAAGTCAAAGCTTGTGGGCCAAATGTGACCTACCACAACTTTTTATGTGACCATTTAGACTCTAGAGGGCCACATAAATAGTCTTCAACATAGTAGTTTGCATTTAAACATTATCAAATCAAAGCAGCATTTTTTGTCTATACACTGACCAGTTACAACAATTTGAAAATATGTTCAATATTATTCAACTTTAAGAAGTACACATTGAATGTAGACACTATTTATTTTAATATAGCATATGTATGTATGTCTTTTATATTTTAACAGTTTATTAATGGGTAATTTTATCAATACATTCTGCTACAACTGGCCCTTTGAGGACATTCATGATATTGACATGGCCCAAAATGAAAATTACTCTGACAACCTTCCTAACATCATGTATCAATGTTGAATGTTTTAGAAAAAGGAGAAGTTTTACAAATTTCTAGTCAGATCGTCAGCACAGATGTAGACATACAGGAAAATATAAGATTCACTCCAAAAATAGTCCCTTTTTTTGGTGCATGAAGTTATCTCTCATAGATATGAGATATCTCTACGAAAGATCAAGGAGACAGTTTCCTGTGCTATGGATGGCATATTTTATTGCATTTTTGCTAGTTGACAGAGTTTTCATTGCAACTGTATTCACTCTATTGAAGCGTTTACAGTTTGTGGCTGAACTTAAGCATCTGACTGGGAAACTAGTCTATTTGACTGCTTTTTGGATGCAAGCTCTTGTAAGATGTTGCTTTTATTGATTTAATTGAAAGTGCCATGCAGTGACCAGAAATTAATTTATTTTTCTTTATTTGGTTTTCATGTTGCTATGGATTCTGGTACTGTCTCTGCCTTGCCTGCACTGTTTCTGGATGATTTGGAGAAAGCCACTGTCTCCCTTTATTTGGCATTTCAAGTCCTGCTGAATTCACCGGCTGTGGGAAAACGCTGTTGTTCCCCCAGCAGCACTGTCTCTAACGGCTTCATTTCAGTTGCAAAGAAGCCCTTTAGACTTAAGCAGATACACAGTTACAAATTAAATACCATTTTAGTGTGCTCATTTTTCAGGTTTTCTCTGTAAAGTCATTGCTGTTTTCTGTTTCTGCATTTGGTGCACCTGCTGTCAAATGCATCGAGAGCTAAAATATCGCAAACTAACTTCTTTTGTCATCAATGTGCAGTCGCAAACTGTTCTCATCCAGAATCCTCCTGGCAAGATGACACAAGCTCCTCCAGCTTGTTTTGTGTAAAATACTGACACTTGGAAACAACTTTCTATGTACTCATCACTGATACAGATATTAGTGTTAATTCTTTTAAGTATAATCAATTAGTTATCAGAGAAATAAATCTCCACTATTTATTAACTTAAGATTTTTATGCAAGAAAAAATTCTACATACTGCTTTAATAAACAGTGATCACTATATGTACCATATTTTCCGCACTATAAGGCGCACCTAAAAACCTTCAATTTCCTCAAAAGCAGACAGTGCGCCTTATATATGGACCAATATTGAGCCACAACAGGTCTAGCACCTACGGTAAGCAGCCGCCGACTCAATTTTCGCCCGTAGAAGAAGCGCGCGGTGCATGCTGGGATAGTTGTCAGAACGCTGGTTTTGTTAATAAAGTTTGACTGAACTATCTACCTACCAACCGTCTAGAATCAGGTCGTCTGCAGGTCATTTAGCACCACGTTCTCCACCAACATGCTGTGTGCGAACGGAGAGGGGTGACCATCGTCCGGCGACGCCCGGCCCAGTCGCGGAAGGCTCTCCTAACCGACCGGAGTCGGACTGTTTTGTTGACATTCTTTATGTCAACAAAGTGGCTTTAGACATTCACCCGGGGTGCTTCAGGGTGTGCTTCGACTAGGGTTACCAAGGGACCAGCCCTTATACATTTAAAGAGAGACAGAGACTGCGGCGGCAGCGTGTCGGTTGGTCTGTGTTACCCAGAAAGCAGTTGGGCACAATATCGCAACACCAACACCGTGAGTAGAACAATGACTGGGGCAGCTTACTATATAAAGTACTCGGGGACCATTTCTTTATTATTACACATCCATATTTGTAGAATACGGAACAAATCCCGTCCGGTATAGGTTCAGTACGGGTGGCAACTCTAACTGTAGTGTCTATTCTATGCGCCTTATAATGTTGTGCGCCTTATATATGAAAAAAGTTTTAAAATAGGCCATTCATTGAAGGTGCGTCTTACAGTGCGGAAAATACGGTACTGATGCATTTAAGCCTTCCAATTTAAACAACAAAAAACCATATTATATTATATTATATTATATTATATTATATTATATTATATACTAAAGTGGAAAGAGTAAAAAGAAAAAAAAATAATCTTTAAATATTACAACAGGTAGGTGTATATGTTGCAACAAAACAGCAATTTCAACAAGGAACAGGAAACAAAAATTTGGAAAATTATGGCTATGTCATATGTAAATCAATACACCATTGACATTTCTGAAAAAACATTAGACCATCAATGGAATTCCTAGTATTGTTGTGGGTGTTAACGTTTTTTTTTTTTTTTGGCCAAACTGTTAAAAAGCATCTCATCATATCACACACATTCTGTGGCAGCAATACGGAACAAATCCCGTCCGGTATAGGTTCAGTACGGGACGGGTGGCAACTCTAACTGTAG